CCAAATGAATAACACTGATCTCGGAGCTCGGCGTCACGAGGGGCACGACTGATCGCTCCGAGCAAAATTAAATAGCTTTAAAAAAACTATTTAAAAAACTCATTGGGAGTATTTTAATACCATTTATCCATAGCCCGTAGAGTAGAACTAGAAGCGTGATTTGCCGTGAAATGAAGTGACTTTATGAGTCATGCGCTTTTTAGCATACTGGTGTACGAATCCACGTTTTATATTTGTGCTATAATATCTGAGAAGTACTGGTTTTTCAACAAATTTTTGAGCTAAGCAAATACAATGATGCTGATGAGTCTAGCTTAGCACTGTATAAGCAAATGCCAGCAGGCCGTAGCCTGCCTAATTGCCCCCCTCTCCCCCAGTAACTGGAAGCAAGGGGGTGATTCGACGTGCCATGAAATCTGGTTTTCGACGAGTCAGTCACGCGCTTCCTTCTTATTTATGGTTATTAGAGGAAGTGCGTTGTTTGGCATGTTAATTATTCTTGATTTTTTGCTGTCAACGATCAGAAAGAAGCGGTTTGTCGAGCCGTAGGTACATAGTTGCTGTGTTATGTCTGCTGAGTCGGATGAATTTATGGTTGTCAAGTCCACCCTCGCTGCCAGCGCATTCTTGTCCCCTCATTGCTCCGCTTTGGTTTCAAATTATTTGGGTCCTTCTCGTTTTCGATGACTTGCTTTCAGCATTTTACCTGATATTTATTTTAAGCGTACTTTGCCTTTTGATTGCACGTGGCAGTTAATACTTTGCATCTTACAAGAGAGTGGAAGATGAATGCATAAATTCGGATTACGAAGAAGTTTATTCGCATAGGCAAAAAGTTTTGCTATCAGCACAAAACATAATTTAACAGTAAAAAATTTCAACATCTTTGACTCCTCGACTGTCAGCTTTGTTCGAAATACGTTTCTTTTCTTTTGGATTTCTTTTAGCGTTCTTTACAAGAAAGGCAGTAGCAGTATTGACCTGTGATAGACCTCAGTCCGTGCTAGAATGACATTCACTTTGTTCAGGTATCTTATGACCGTCAGCCGCCTTGACCACAGCTGTTACTTTTATTAAGATTTCTAAGAAAAGCTGATTTTAAAGGATATTTCAGCATCACAACTCCAGTTGATTATTACTAAAGTACTGCTATTGTGTTAAAGTATTTTCGAGCATCCCTTCAGTTGTTGTTATAACTTGCGATTCCAGTGATGTATTACGGTGTTGTTTAGCAACCCGAGTTCGACTACAGTGATTCATTATCATCTCAATGAGATGGTACGTCAGTTTGAATTTTAAGGAATTATTCGATCCTTCAGGTAGTTTCGCTATTCTGAATTTTGAGCTTTAATTTCTTTCTGACCATTAAGCTGTCGGTGTAAATAATCAATAAAGCTTCTTTCAGAATATGTTGGCGGAAGTTCCTTAAATCAGCGAGCGATGCATTCTGCCCCCCCCCCCACTGAGTCAGTTAATTGACGTTTCATATGCAGTACTCGAAGTTCTATTCAACTCTTGATCGCGTTTCATCATGTTGTTTGAATATTGTTGATTTTTTCTCGTTCGCTGCGGTTTTTTCATCGGCATTCACGAGTTTGCAGTGTACTGAATGAATTATGATATTTTGACCCGTTCATTGATCTTCTAACGAATTTTACCTTATCATAAACTTTATTGTTGTTTCTGCACAATTAGCGAAGGTACGGAGAACCACCGTTCGCGTCCCTCATTAAGGGAAGCCTAAGACAACGTCGTATTGTTGCTGGAGTTCTGACAAGGCTAGATTAGTATAAGATGGTTTGATCTTTTTTTTGAAAATGCACTTTGCAGCGATTCCTTGGTTAATATTGAACATGAACTTTTAAGCGCAATTTTCTGATCATAGTTGCGTGAATCTTGTCAGTGCTCACTCAGATGATCGATCGCGTGAGCCAGTATGCCGTATGGTAACTAATGAATAGTGTCTGTGTCCGTTGTTGTGTTTTAATTGCTCAAAGTTCGTCTACTTGATGACTGTGTTTTTATCCATATTGTTCTTGGCTTTTTATTTGATTGCGAATGATTTTCCTCATGAACTATGTTTTTTTAGTTCGCAATTGTACAGCTGGAAGACGAGCACGAGGAATGCACGGATTCGACATTCAGAACGAGATCGTCTTTCACGCAGAGTGGTTGAAACAGCGAACGCTCCGTTTTTTGGCGATTCTCATGTGTCAGGGTATAAGGCGAATACGGAAATGATTAAAAATAAGGAACGCGTCGTCGGTTGTTATTCGAACGGTCAGATCTGGGATCCTGGCACTGTCCAGGTCAATAGTTACAGCCGTCCACAGCAGGTTGTAAACTTCACTAAGCCCTTTGCAACCGGTGAATACCACCGGTCCGTTTTGCTAACGCAGCCGATTCCGAATTCGTATATCCCGGTACCGCCACGCTGTGGCGATATAGACGGAAGAACCATCGGCGTTGGAGTGGTTATGAAACCGGCTTGTCCTGGTCAGTTTATCGAGCCGCCAGTTCTGCCTTGGGTGCAGGACTCTGGTCAGTGTCAAGATTCACTGTAGAAGAGGTAGTCGATCCGCTTTGCTCAATTCCGCGTTCGATGTGACTGTGTGTGAAGCTGGGTCAGAATGCAATGCGGAACTTTTGTTTTGTCTCTATTTTCGTTTCCAGCGAAGCATTTTATGTATTGTGATATTATAAATACGGTTATCAGACTTGTGTCTTGCGTTCGAAACAGAAAACTTCTGATTTGAAGACGATTTAGGCTTCTGCTTATAGCATGATTTAACTATGCATCCTTTGTTCCTCATTTGAAAGCTTGTCGTTGAGCAGCTTGTTTCTTCTCTTGTTTCTGGCCACAAAATGTTCACTTTCTTTTGAAGCACACTTGCTCTGGTGTAGCGATATGCTTTGGGAAGTCGCTTATCTTTTAATCGCTTATGTTGGTCAGCAGTCGTAATATTCGAAGCCGCTGAGATATAGTCTTAACATTCTGTAGGGCAGTTTCAGTCTGTATCTATTTTGACAGATATTGGGAGAGATTACAGTTAGCCAATTCACTGTTAACATGTTTTTTCTGAGCTTATGCTATTGAGTTTTGAGCTGATAGACCACTGGAAATTATTACGATTGTATGCTAGTCTACTGTTATTGTATCTGTATCTGTACCGTATTGTCTTCATGATGTCACAATGCTTAGTCGCATCAAAGTTGCAGTACATTGTCATTTATGGTGTCAGTTTAGCACGTTGATACCAAGTAACCTCATCGATAGTGGTAAGCTTTCCTGCTGACATCACATTTCAGGTTGTTTACGACTTGGACGCTCTTTTTTGTGCGACGTTATATCATATCCCGTAGGAGAATATTTAAGTCCTATAAACTGCAGGCTCTAAAATAGCATGGAGCAATGACCTACTTAAATGGTGCCCCTATGTGTCTAGAAGCAAATGGATGGTACAACTAGCTGCTGGTGTAAAGTGAGAAATTGATTTTCTTTCTTTACGCGTACATTCGCCGTTTCAATCCGGTATCATTATTCTTATTGTGATTTAAGTGTATATTCTTCGCAGACAAAGTTCCAGTATCTGAAGTTGAGTGGCTGACTAATAAATCATTGAATCTACCAACGTAATGAAAGACTGATAAATTGCAATATTATATGTGCAATATCAATATATCTCCAATAAATTAGCTGTTTCAGTCACATCGAACGTGTTTAATCACAGCCAATGGTTTTTCATGACATGACCTTAATCAATGATAAATACAGTTAGGCCTTATACGTATTAACATGTCATTTTTACGGATCTACGAGGCGTAGCGCACTATCCCCTTGCTTTTAATAGTCTATGAGATTGTTTACAGTGGCTATATGGAATTTGAGCATCAGACAGACGCTAGACAGCATCACTTGTTGAGTCGAACAAATATGTTCTAGCTCCAACAAATGGATCTCTAAATATGTATGTACACCGTGGTTTTATTGGTTTGCTGGCAAACCGCTAGCTACCGCCCCCTGTTTGAATAACATTATCGCGCCACTTTGGATTTGCACAACGTATGGTACTGACTTCTTGCTTCAAGTCGCTTAGGAAGCCTTTTAAGCAGGCCATAAATATATGGTATCGTAAAATGTGAGCGTTAAACGGCACTCAGTTAAAACGAGA